TATATATATTAAAAAAAAAAAAAAACTAATCCGCAGTACAAAAACTTGTACTCTTCCTGAACATCATGTGAGAGATTCGAGAACACCTTCGGTCATGCCGTCTCGGTCCTTCTCCCCCCTCAGCATCGCATTCATCTGTATGTCAGTGCAGGTCATGCTTTTCATTTCATAACCAACGGCCACATGCGTGTGTGCACGCAGACTCACTCCGGCACACTCACAAACACACACACACACACACACACACACACACACACACACACACACACACACACACACACACACACACTCCTGAATCTACAATATCAACATCCAAGATAGGGGAGGGCTGAAGAAACTAGGATTTGAATGTAGAGTTTTTCCAAAGCGGCTTGTGATAAACCCAACCTTCACCCTGGCGGAGGAGAGACGAGAGTCAGTGTGGTATCTCGTATCAGTGATAATGAAGTGTCTGCAGTGAGATAGCATAATTGTTTACCCTGATAAAGTTAGACAAAACACCAGACTGTTAAGTTGAGGCTGCAAAGTATTTGATTTCAACATTTCTTTACCAAACAATGGGCATCAAACTAACGTGTGGAAACTCCTCTGAGAAGTTCTTTTTTTTAAATCATGCAATTCAAATATTTTGTGTATATAAGTTGTAAGATCTTCAATGTGGCAGTTATATGATTCAATATGGCTTCCTATGCAGTAAATACCAGCTGCTGTATCAGCAGAAACCTAATAAATCACCACTGCTCACCTCTCTGTCAAAGTATCGGGTCCTCCAGGGGGTTTCTGTCTCGACACGGTGCCTCTCTTCTGTCCGCTGCCTCTCCTCGAGGACCCTCTTATGCTCGGTGGCTTTCTCGATGTCTTTCTGCCGTAAAGCCTCAGTCACGTGCTGCCACAGGCGCCTGCAAAGGATCGAAACATTTCAGTAAACCCTATTAAATACACAGGAGCTGCAAGTTCGCTCCTTCAACTTCAATTTCATCTGACCTGGATTCAGTTGGTCCTTGCTTCTCTACTGGCCGCACGTGCTTCTTCGTCACAGGCAGCCTGGTGACGTCGACCACCCTCGTCTCTCCGTTAGTGAAGCTGAACTCCAAGACGCCGTTCCACTCGCCCTGTACGCGGCACACCACTGTATTGGTGGAGTTGTGCTTCACCTCTGCTGTTACCCTAAACGTGTGGTAGGAGGACCGATTTAATACACACATGCAATTTTGAGGATTTGTTTAGATATGAACGCCCATCTTGGACACTTATTTTAAAGAGCTGCAGAACTGGCAATCAAAAACTCGTCTTACTGCCAACATCCCCAACTAGTCGCATCAGATGGCCGACCCTCCCAGACTGTGGTTCTGCTGGAGGTTTCTGAATGTTAAAAGGGAGTTTTTCCTTCCCACTGTGGCCAAAACGCTTGATCATAGGGGTTATAGGATTATCTGTTTTCTTTGAATTACTGTAGGGTCTTTACCTTACAATATAAAGCTCCTTGAGGGAATTGTTGTTGTGATTTGGTGATATATAAATAAAACTGAATTAAATTGAATACTGTCATAGTATTGCTAGTACTTCACCTGGTCACATAGTCAAGTTCGGTTCATTTAGAGAGCACATTTCATTGAATGAATGAAAGCATCGTCTCAATGAACAAATAAGGTCACCTCTGGGGTTTTTTTCTGCTTTTCAGTTTGAGAAAGTTTGAAGTTAAACTTTTTTGTTTTCCAAGAAACAAAGCAGTAACTGCTTGGAAGTTGTTGCACTTTGGTGGTAAATAAAATTGAGCATCATCAGCATAACAACATAACTTTCTGAAAATGGATCCCAATGGGCAAAAAGGAACATAAGCTCATAATCTGATACGATTCAAACCACATATATTGATATAATGACAATCATTGCAAACACATTAAATACATTTCTTTTACTTCTTGTTGTGGATATAAAAACTAAGACTTACTTGTGTAATTTGCCTCCATAAAAGGGTTTAGTCTGGAAAGTAATGACTGCCGAGTAACCCGACTTGGCGCAGTTGATGGTGACTTTGCCGCCAAGTTCCACCCAGGGAACGGTGAGGATGGAGCGAGCATAGGCGCAGGGCAGCGTGAAGGTGTATTCCTCATCGTGCTCCAGCAAATACAGACAACCTGGAAGAATAAATACAGCAGAAACAAGAGTTACAAGGTTTCTGCCAGTTGTAACATAGAGATATGAGGGGTGTACTATGTAATGTATTACCCAGCAACAGTAAATAAGGATATAGTTGAATCTTTCTTTTGTCTTTTTCCACCCTGTGGTTTTAATAATGATAGAAATATCCAGTAAAATACTCAACAAAGTCTGAAATGTTAGTATTGCAACAGCCCTACCGCTACTGCTGCCACCTGGTGACGGTAAACAGCAACGGCATGTAGATGACAGTCTGCAAAGCTGTGCACAGACTCTGCACATTACCGACGCACAACCGCGACACTTCCCTTATTTGTCTGCACTGGGTGACAGAGGAAATGACAGAGATGCTTCTGTGGTTGAGGCCCTACACAGTAAAGTACAAACATGCCCTGTCCTACATTTTTATTAACAAGGACAAGAGAGAAATAGTTTTATTAAGAAATGCATTAATAGTCAAATGAGAATATACACCAAATATGACACCTGATATACCAGAATTTAGTCCTAAATTAATTACACTGCTGCTTTTGGTAATAAGAGGGATTTAAGATAAAACTAAAACCAAACTGAGGAGTAAGGGAGTTGGGGGCACCTCACTCCGATTGTCAGTTACAGCTGTGTATGGAAAGACTTTTTTGGCACTGCGGCCTCGAGCTCTGACGCATCAGAAGGAGGTGAGATAGCGACTTGCCAGCTCCACAGCACACATCATGATATTGTGCACGTGAGAAGAGAGCAGGTAACTTGCCAGAACTCAGCATGCTCCACTTGAGCCAAACAGATTACTTCCAGCAGTGAAAACACATCTGAGGCGGGCCATCTCTTGCTTTCTGCTACACGTGAGAAGTGAGAACTTTAGATAAGAAGCCAACCTGATTCTGCTGACGCCGTCTCGAGTTCATGTGTAAAAACATCTAATGTTTCCAATGCAACGCGCCCCTGAACTTTTCTAGACATCCAATCGAGGTGCAGGTGAGAATTCAGGGGAGAAGTCAGATCAGACAATAAATGGTCTACACTCTCTCGCTTTATTCAGCAAAGCCTGTGTGAATGAGAGTGTAGAGGAGCTAACCCCCCGCTGCACTCGCTGCTCGTGAGCAGGCCTCCTACAAGTGCTCTATGTGTAAAAACAGCTCGTGTTTCCATCTAACTCCTGCTGCCAACCTCGCAGAACACAGTTTTGTTTTAAAAATTGTGCTGCCTTACCTTCCCCCACCATCGATACTCCAATGGACATGCCCATGAACTTGCTCTTGGTCCACACATGTGTGTTCACACACATCCGCCTCTCCTGGCATTCGGCGTAGAAACCAGACACAGGGGGATGATGGGAAACCTGCTCCGCCACAAAGCGCACTTGGTAGGAGTCCTGGCTGGAAGCAGTGGGGTCGGGGCTTCCCTGTGAAGGCTCCTTGGAGGCGTCTGGTCTCTTGGGCACCTTCCAGGAGCAGTGGAAGGTCTCGCCAATGATGGGGTTGTAGGGTTTTTTGGCAATGGCGCCTTTGCGGCCCTCGTGGAAGGAGGTGAGGTAGTACTCCACAAACCGGACCATGCGGTCCTCCGGACTGCTGCCGTCTGTGATGGTCACAAAGAGATCCGGATGGGACATGAAGTCTGCGTACATCTCCAGCAGAGAGCGCTTCTCGAGGATGAAGGTGGGGAGGACCACCTACAAGGAAAATGGACAAGAGAAGAGATTTTAATCACATCTTCTGGAACATACTGCATTAACAAATTGAATCTGAGGATGCTTCTAAATTAGCTCAGGTTAGGCAGAAAAATATAGTGCAATGAGGAAGTGAAAAGACGTAGACAGGACGTGACCCTGCGGATCATGGGGTGTTTACTAGAGTTCCAGCTGAGGTAAGCCAGCGGACCCATGAGATAAATCAGAAACTCAAGAGCAGGATATCGAACTACGGGAACAAACTGACACTGAAAGATAAGAGTGTCAGCGTAAGCCTCGGGTCAGGGTGTTTAAGCACGTGTCCTTGACAACTAATTACCAAGAATGAGGAGCTTACTTCAACCATGACTCCTTATCCTGCCTCAAAATGTGGTTTTTAAACAATTTCAATTACTTTCATGGGCGGCTTTAATTCGAATACAGCACTGTGCTACTAGATATCAGCCTCATCACAGGCTGATATTTAATGAGCATTTAACTGTGACAAATATCTGTTGCTGTCTGCATAGACAGAAATTCACATTTAACAATTACATTTTCATTGATCAGCCTTCCTGTTCTACAGGCCAGCTGAGTCGAGTCCCTTCGAGTTGTGCTCAACGACAAAGACTCATTCAGACTGATGGCGAAATGTTGGCAATCTGTCTGCATTTATAAATCAGACAGCAGTTATCTAAAGGCCTTTGAAATCTCTCAGAGGGATTGTAGTCGGTCCAAGTCACACTGCAAAGGTGCAGGCGACCTGCGCAATCAAACGTGGTCATGACTGTGCAACACCCTCAAGCTCTGGGCAACTGATTATCACCACAAGCTACAGTCAATTGCACAATGTGAAAAATTCAACTTAATCACCAGGCAGCCGCTGATTATTATTTTCTCTCTTTGGTGGACGTAAGGAGTTCGTCCTTTTCAGCCATTAGCTTGATCTGAATTAGGAGGTAGCTTTGTCAAGCTAAGTGCGCCCAGTGTTGGATAATGTGTTAGTTTGCTTAGCTAACATTATCTCTGGGTGATGGTGCATGAGATGATCCCTTTTGTTCCTAGTATTCCCAGAGTATTTTAATTTATTTAACAAGATAAATATTTGTTGTCCCTGTATCGATACAATATCACAAAAATCCCAAAAATATTGCGAAAAGATCTCAAAAAGCAACACATCAGGTCACGATCTAAAGAAACAGCTGAGAAACAAAGCCAGTGCCATATGTCAGTCTGGAATGACTTACAAAGTCCTTTCTAAGGTTTTGGGACTCCAGTGAACCACAGTGAGCGACATTATACACACATAGAGGAAACTTGGAACAGTGGTGAAGCTTCCCAGGAGTGACCGGTCAACCAAAATTACTCAAAGAGCTTTGATGGCTCATCCAGGTGGTCACAAAAGAACTCGGAACAACATCTAAAGAACTGCAGGCCTCATTTGACTCAGTTAAGGTCAGAGTTCATGATTCAACAGTAAGACAGAGACTGGGCAAAAAACGGCATCCATGGAAGAGTTCAAGGAGAAAACCACTGCTGACCAAAAAGATCACAAAGGCTCGTCTCACATTTACCAAAAACATCTTGATGATCTCCAAGAAAATATTCTGTGGACTGACGAGACAAAAGCTGAACTTTCTGGAAGCTTTAGGTCCCGTTACATCTGACATAAAACTAACAGCATTTCATAAAAAGAACATCACAGCAACAGTCAAACATTGTTAGTTATCACAAAGACTTGATTACAGGTCTTGCTGCCAAGGATGGCACAACTAATTAAGTTCAGGGAGCACTTATCCCGGAAAATTCTCATCCCAGGAAGGAATATTGTTCATCTGGATGTTGCTTTTTCACTGGGAGAAATGTTTTGTCACTAGATCTGCAAAATGACCAAACTATAGGGATATAACTTTTTCCACATAGGACCAGGTAGGTCTGTGTTACTTTTTTGTTCCTTAATAAATGATTTAAATAATTTAAAATAAATATAAAAAATATAATAATTTATCAGGACACAATGACTGCAGTAAATGATGTTGATCTTTTTGTGTTACATTAGAAATGTTTGCAGGGTTTGTTTTTTTTATAATGATGCATAAAAAGCACAGGAGGATTTATTTAAAAAAAAACAAAAAAACAAACAACCTAAGAAGTGAAAGGCAGTGTTTCTGTGTAACAGTTGCTGAGTCAAGGCTGAAATACTTGTGAAACAATCTTACCACATACTATTAACTGTGTATCAGTACACTGTTAAAAAATGGTTTATTTAGCTGCAGAAGAACGTGGTGTGAACTCCTCATTTTGGTTTATTCTTTACCAGAATTCTGTGAAATTGCATTCAAAACCAATCAGAAGGGAATCTTGACAGCATTTCACATCTCACTGTGACGCAATGTGCTTTGAACTCTGAGTTACAAGAAACTCCTCTCGCTCCGGGAAAATCCTCCTCTGTTACAGCTAAGCGAGCCTTATCAAAGACCCGTTCGTGCTGGCGTCTCAGAGGGATTGTTTTCGCTGATATGGGAACTCGACCTACCCGCGTGAGGTCCATCCCCAGCTTCAGCTGCGACAGCAGGTGTAGGATGACGCTCCGTTCCTCCTCCACGGCACCCAGGTCCTCCTCCTTGTCCGTAAAGGAGTCCTCCAATTCATCCTCTGCATCTATGTCTTCCTGTTCCTGTGAGGAGAGAGGGGGGAAGAAGTTAAAGTTTTTATGTATGACTGATTTTAAAACGAGGCAGTCTCACAGAGCATTAACAGAAAACTGCAACAAGCATGACACAGATAACCTCTCCCCTCTCCCGGTCTTACCCCAGAGAAGTTGCAGGACTCGGGGCTGCTGAGCTCCAAGCGGTTCCCCTCCAGCGGGCCCTCACCTGTCGCGAAGCTGCCCAGGGAGCTGCTGCCATTCTTCAGGATGTCGGGCAGTTTGGGCTCCAGCCACTCGATGGTGGGTCCTGCGGTGGACGGGGAGTGCACAGGTGCAGGTTCAGAGGTATTCATGGTCCTACCCCTCCCTCCCACCCGACCGAGGCCCCCCTACATGCACAGGTAGCGCTAAGCTCAGCCCACCATTTACCGCACGGCGCCCCGCAATCGCCTGGCAGCTGACCGGGCAGAGCTTCTGCTCCTCAGAGAGCTGCCGTCGACCAAAAGAGTGTAACCCAACTCCTCCGTGAAGACAGGTATCAGGATACTCTGGAAGCATCCCCCACCCCCTGATTGGCTAAACCCTCTCAGTATGGCATCCCCCCCTCCGCCCCCTTTAAAAGTACGTATAGCAGAGGACAGATCTAATTCAAATTCACCTTGTGCGTCAGAAGACTTAATCTGATTGGCTGCTGTGGCGAGTCCGGCCTGATGAAATATACATCGAGTAACGAGATCCGCTGTGGAAAATGTGGGACGAGTTTTCCGGCATTTTAACAAAAGATCAGTGAGTCTCCTCTCCTTCACCTTACTGTATGATTTTTAATGTGAAGCTTAAAAACAGAGCTGTCCTCGAGGTGCTGGGGATGGATATTTAACCATCTGAGATCCAATTACCTGCGAGACAGGTGGTACGAACAGGGACAGGTGACCCCATCAATAATGCAGAATAATTCCAGTGTCCGGCCAAACTAACCGTCTAGATTGGGTGCAGACACTGCATGAGCAAGACTATGATTTGTTCTTAGGATTGCGTGCCCAGTACAGACATAAATATTTAACACCCACTTCCCAAACATCATGTATTTACTGAACTTAAAATTTAACTTGAGTTTATATAGAATTTATTTAACCCTTTATTGAACCCGCCGGCGGGCCCATGGTCAATTTTACTGGTAAATATAAAGGGTTGGTCAAAAAAAGGGATAAGATGGAGGTGGTGCAGAGGGACAGTGTTTGGGACGACTCAGTACACAGTAGCAGGTGATTTTGACCATAAAGCACCACGAGGGACTCAAAATTATGTCAAAACTATAATCGACAGGTGGCACAACCTTCCCCCCCAAGTACAAGTCCTACAATTACTGGGTCTTTTTTTGACTAACATTCTACTCAGCTCAATAACATCTCAACAGTTAAACTTTATGTCATGGAAGTAACCCTGAAAGATGAGTCACTAAAGTGGCGTCCAGAACAATATTAGAGCCATTTTATTCATCACAGAAGGCTGGGTTGTTTGACTTTTTTAGTTTTAGGGTTTTACATTAAGTGGCAGGACCACATATTAGCATCTACTCGGCTGGGGTTCCAAGCACGCTGAGACAAGCCAAAAATGAATGAAAACCGCCATTTTTGAAACCCGGGAACGAGGGAAATGGCTGCACACAAACCAACACCGATGAGATGCAGGCATTCACCATCGGTGTAGTGCCATCACGGTGATGGCACTGCCTATTAGCAGTTTATTAACAGTTTGTTAACCTCTTGCTTTCATCTACAGCATCTTTTGTCCCTTTTCCTTCTCCTCAACCACTCATGGCAGATGACTGACCCTCCCTGCGCCTGGTTTTGCCAGAGGTTCCTTCAAGTTAAACAGGAGTGTTTCCTTCCCATTGTCACCAAGGGCTTGCTCATAGGGGGTCATATGATTGTTGGGGTTTTGTGTACTATTGTAAAGTCTTTAAACTACAAAATAAAGCCCCTTGAGACAAAGTTGGAATTTAGTGCTATATGAGTTAAACTAAATAAAGTTGCGTGTCCATGCTGCCTGAACACAATACAGCAATAGAAACCATGTCAAACGTGCAAACTGAGGAAGAAAATGTTTCTATGTTCTATGAATAAAATGCAGGTTTATGAGGTTTGCAGATCATTTTACAGGCCGTCCCACCTTTGTAAGTATTCTGTTTGTAGAAACTCGTGCTGGCCAAAAGCTCTCTGACTGCCAGCCTGGGTCCAGATGAACTAAACTGAGTTTGAGCTTTTAGTGTACCGTCATTAATTAGCACACCCTTAACGTAATCCAGGTACTTTAACATATACAGTTCAACTTACGTGTTGTTACCTTTTGTGTTTGTCACAAAAGGTAACAACAACCCACCACTACATAAACATCCCTCCACGTACCTCCTAGGGAGCTTCTCTGTCGGGCCATCTGCTGCAGGTGGAGGATGTGCAGGCACTCATTGAGGCAGTTCATGGTGGCCATGGAAGTGGCCTTGAGCATCAGCAGGTCCTGGTCCAGGGGGGAAAGGCCAGGAGTCGCAGGCAGGCCCTCAATGCCCTGGATCAGGTCCTTGTGCTGACCCTGGGCTTGGCTCATCATCTGGAGATACAAGGATGTTGTGGTTATTTTTAATAAGGACAAAGCCTCACAGGACCGTGATTAACTATCTGTGCAGGCAGCTCTGCTGATTTTGACTCAGTGCCTTTGTTTAACTATCACGTTAAACAAACTAGGGAAAAACATATTTACACCTTGCTGATTAGAACAAAAACCTGCTGTATCCCACTCAAGTTAAATAAACATGAGTGCCACCTTGTGGACAATCTGCAGCATTAAACTGGCTCAGAGAGAGACTACTAAAGCTCATGACTAAACAAATCTCAGTGAGCTAAAGTCCTGCTCTAAAGCGCCTCTTAAATATTTTACATTCACCGCTGCGTGCCTTGTAGGAACTAAATGTTTCTTGTACTTTTTCCTTGTACTTGGTCTCGAGTTTAAACTTTAATGAAACATTGTAGTGAGTGCCAGCACTGCTTTCTGTCTGCTCATCTTGTACAAACACTGCGGCGCCTTCATCCAGTCTTTTTAATCATCATAAAATGTAGCACGCAACTAGCGTCCCTTGGTTTTTAGCCCGCACTGTTTGTGTCTTGGCTAAAAGTTCCCCCCAATCAGTGAGTTATGACTTCTTCAGATCAAAGTGTACCTCTCTTGCGTCCATCAGGTGGTCGGGCAGCAGGGACCTCTTACTGGAGTAGGCCGACGAGCCTCTGACCTGCGACCAGCCAAACAAAGAGGCGGGGTTTTGGCTGTGCCGGCGCATGGACATCGGGGAGCTGCCGCTGCCCTGAGACGCTGTGGAGTAACTCCGGGACTTTGACGGAGGCTGACTCTGAGGAACGGAGACCAGCACAGTCATTACATTTATGGGTCAGCGCAGTGTTTCTAGCTATAAATGAGACGGGGTGTATTGTACTACCATATTGTTTTTTCAAAATAAAAGTTTTAAAAAACATTTTATAAGCAGTGTAAACTACTGATATTTATCAGGCTTTTTCATGGCCCCTGAACTCCATACTGTTTCCTCAATTTGTAAGCGTACGTAAACAAACAAAAAGTATGTATTTTTAATGCCGGACTAAATTAAACCCAACAGCACAAAACATGCTGAAAATATATTCTTTTATAAAACACTTTTTATTTTATTTTAGTAAAAGGAAAAAAATCCTGTTATGTTTTTGTTTTTTTGTTTTTTTTGAGTCTCCAAAACTGGCCCGAACCTTTGATTCAGTTTTATTTATAAAGTCAAATCCACAGTTGCCTAAAGGTGTGTCATACTGTAAGGTAAAGACACTGCAATAATACAAAGAAAACAGAAAACAGATGATCATATGACTCCTATGACCAACTTAAAAACTTAAAAGTCCAAACTTCACATTTTTCAAAGCTGTCATTGGGCCTGGACCGCCGTCTTTGCCAGGCCAGTTCCGGCTCCCAGGCTCTGTGGTTTATAGCACTTAAAAACATTTTTCTTATATTTTTGCACATCTCTGCTCATTTTTCCTAAACTTGGCCATCTCCAGACCATTAAAATGGGCCACGGGCTGCATAGCAATCTGGAGATCAATATCCAGATCAATACTGCTGCTTGCTGCACTTACAAACAGGCTGGAAGCTGATATTTCTTTACATAAACACAGATACTGTTCTAACTCTGTTGGATTGCCTCCTTTGGGACATGTGAAAGGAAAACAGGAAACAGAAAACTGTCACATCCGCTCATGAGTCATAGATTTTGCTGAGGAAGTTTTTACAACACCCTAACAGTTTCAATACCAAAGTACTGTCCGGCTGTTTCACTGCTGCACATTTATTGACAGATCAGCAGCCATTTAAGGGCCTTTGAGCCTAAAGCAGCATGGGTTTTCTGCTCCAAAAACAAACAAAAAAAAGACTAATGAAAGAGCATCGTGTCACTGCTCATCAGCACAGAAAAAAAATGCTGATTTTGACTTTCACAATGATGTCAAAGATGGACTTTGAAGTAAAACACAGCTGTTCATGGTTTACAAGCCTTTAAAGACAGACAGGACTGATTGAGCTGCTGTCTCTGGAGTGCACATTTCACATCAGATGAGTTTTCCAGGTTTTTACTATAAACTTTTTTTTTTAAAATCTGCAAATATGCTAATATGCAAATCTAGATAAAGATCCTGTACATGAAGGTAAAGTACAAAGCTTCATGCATCAAGGCAGCCATATGCCTTTAGCTTTTATTTTGTAAGCACGCCGAGTTTTGAGCTTCTGGAAATGTGTTTTCTGCACAGTCATCACTGCTCGCAGACACAAATATCTGCACAAACTGCTCACACAGCTGCAGACACATTATCTGATAAGAGCTTACGAAGCAAACTTTAGCACGATTTCATGCCAGTCAGACTTCCTTCTCTTTCCTTGTTGCTTTAGTGGTGCATCTGTGGGCTTACGACATTGTCACCGCTGTCTCTGCTTCACTTTCACGTGTTTCCTTACAGAAAAATGGTGGTGTGGCTGTCTGCAGACTGCATGCAGCGATCACGACCCTTCTGAATCGGTCGTGATCGCTGCATGCAGCTGAATCGGTTAGATTTAGTAAGAAACACACAGATCGGCCATTACCTGAGCCATAAATTTGATGGCGATTTTGACTCATTTTTTCAAGGATAAGAATATTTCCACGGACAGAATAAGTGCAATTAACTCATTGTTATGTTCAAGAAATCAGTTTGAGATGATGTCAGCTTTGTGACATGGTGTGTTAATCTTCTCAAAGCAGCCATGAGTTGATGAGTACACTGTGGTTATAGTTTTTGCTGCAACCAAATGTTGCAGCAAAAATTGAGACTCGTCAGATCGGGCAATGTTTTTCCAGTCTTCTATTGTTCAATTTTGGCAAACATGCGTGAACCGTAACCTCAGTTGCCAACAGGACAAGAACCAGATGTGGTCTTCTGCTGGTGGTGGTGAGATGCTCTTCTGCATACCTTGCTTGTAACAAGTGATTGTTTTGAGTTACTATTGTATTCCTATGAACCTGAAGCAGTCGGGATATTTTCTCTCTCTGATCATTCTTTGTAAACCCAGGAATTGGCTGTATGGGAAAATCCCAGAAGATCAGTAGACCAACAAACCAAGCAACATTCAAAATCCCTTAAATCACCTTCTTGCTGATGCTCAGTTTGAACCTCAGCAGGCCATCCTGGCCATACCTATGCGTCTAAATGCATTGAGCAGCTGTCATGTGATTGGCTAATAGGATACCTCTATTAACAAGCAGTCATCTGATATATGGGGTTTTCTCTGTATTATTGTGGAGTCTTTACGTCTGTGAAGGTTCTCAGTCATCCAGGTCATCGTAGTCTAAGGAGCTTGGAAAGAAAAGCGTGGAGTCTTCACCTTACAATATAAAGTGCCTTGAGGTGACTGTTGTAGTTATTTGGTGCTACACAAACAAAATTGAATTGAACTGAACTACTGTGTCATTATATCCAACAAAAGTGTAACAGGCAGCCTGCCTCAACTAATTTTTATTTTTGACTTTTTTGTTTTTATCTTAATTATGCTTCTTCTTTTAAAGATAATTTTTTAAAACTATATATTCTTGACAGAAGAATGATCCACTGTAAACCAACCATGGTACAAATTATGGTCATGTGCCTCTTTTCAGGTATAAACACACTCGGCACAGTCAGTCTTACCTTCCCCATGGCCTCTGTGTGGTGCTGCGTGCAGATCTGTAGCCTGCTGACCCAGTGCTGCCTCTCTTTGGCATCAGAGGCTGGCACACACACACACGCACACACACACAGGAGAAGAAGAAGACAACCTTGTTACAGTAACTCTACAGTAATCATACTCAGCATTGATTCCTGTGTGCTTCTGCATCACCGGCAGCAGATAATGGAAAAACATCCAGATCAATACAGCAGGAACAAGATGGAAGTTAATGAGAGCAAGGCTTAGCTTTAAAACAAAGAAAAGAAAAAGTAGAATGGAGGCATCAATAAAAGGTGGAGAGCTCAGGTAGGAGCACAGAAGCACCAGCTAAAGCCAAATTAACTCAGAGCACTCATGGCTGCCATATCCTCACCCCTGAGCTTGTACTGCTCCCCGCTGATGGCATTGACAGTGAAGGTATGCGAGTCCTCATCACTCGGGGAAATGACGGCCCCCGCCAAAGGTAGCATGCCACGGGGCTTCTGTGGCCGTGACTGCTCATTGACGAAATACTCAAGCAGGCCCGCCTCGTTGTTCAAGACAAAGAACCTGAAATCAAATAACACTGGCTTAGTCTGCTGTACATGATATGACTTTTTATCACAGTCACACCTTACATTTTTGTTTGGTAAGTTAAAAACACACATAAACACACAAACACACACACAAAGGTACTTTGTCCCTATAAAACTGTAAGGTCTTTAATGCTCATTCATGTCACATGAAGTTGGGTCAGAACTCACCTGTACTGCCAGCCTGTCACCAGGTTGGTGTATTTCATCAGGTAGCCATCAATATTCTCCATGTGATCGCTGGTATTATGGGGCAAAAGGAGACACTCATAAAATGATACAGGCAGTGAGCACACGCCCATAAACACAGCAAGGTAAATACACAATTCAATCACAGAGCATTCCTCTGACTCAGCTTGTATACCTGAGAACCAAATACACACTTAAACACTACTGAAAAAGAGTAGGTTATTGTGCTGTCTGGGTCAACGAAGTGCTCCTGACAACACTAAATTAGCTGCTAGCGGAACAAACTAACCTGTACTGCCAGCTTTTGGCACTCGCTCTCCCCGAGCTCGGGGTCCTGTTCTGGGGATATACATCCAGCTTGCCTTCGTTTTCCGTGATTCGGATCGTCGTGGTTTCCCCTTGCATAGTCACTAGCAACGACACCTCCTCTGGACGCAGCGTGCTAGCGCTAAGCTAACCTGTAAAGCCAGCCAAGTCTACAGGGCTGATTTTTTTTAAAGGACGGAGTCTCTCTTACTGGGAGGTCATCACTTAACGAAAAGCACCACCGAACAGGTTACACACGCTGGACTGACAACTGGCCGATGACAGCTGAAAAAACATGGTCTGGTCTACTGGAACTGGGAGTAGCTAACAGACTGCTAGCTAGCCTGATATTTACTGGCTTCGGTTGGGGACACGGTCATGTGACTCACCTTACAGGAGCGTTTCCGCATTGAGATATATAAGATATATAAAAATATAATCATTTATGATAAACAAAAAAATCCATCCAACCAAAAAACAAAACAAAACAAACAATAACAACAAAAAAACGTAAAAGAGGCGTAAAAGGTTAAAAAAATGGGGTGGATTAAAAAGCCGCAATCTAAAACGGAAATAAATCTTTTACATAATAATTTTATAAAATATTATCAGATTTTGTGTATTAAGTAACAAGAAAGAAAAACAAATAAATTAGTTTTTTGTTATTTTTATACTGACTGGCAAGTATTATTTGAAAGAAGGAATTATAACATTAAAAACATTTATAATATATTTTTGCATTGTTGTAGCTAAAAACTAAAGTGAATAAATAATTACACAAATAGGCCACATATTATCCATATTTGTTCCCACTAATTTATTATTTGATATTTTTTGTATACGCTGAACATGTGCAGACAAGTAAAACTTTAAAGATATTAAACAGATGCGTTTTGTGTGTATAAAGATTCTGACATATGTAAACATGTTTGATAGCCAGGAGTGTTCAATGATGGGCTGAATCATATTTATTTAAAAAGAAACACGTTATTAATCTGCTTTGTTTTTAATGTTTTTGATACCTCGTTTTTAAATATAATGTATAAGCTAATTTACGTGTTAAATTAATTAGGGGTGTAGTGGTTTTGTTTTTTAAGCGGCATCCTTTGTTAGCAAGAGCTTTATTTTGAAAAAACCAATGACCGGAAGCGCCTTTAAAATACGCTTTTGTTATCATGAGGTAGTAATGTGACTGGCGGTATCCCATATTTCCCGATAATATTAAATAATAACTGGCATTTAAAACGTTCGCTTTAATATAGCGGACGTGTTGTTGTTGCATGCAGCCACCTTTAAACTCGAACCTGAATATGGGCTATGAAGCTTTCAAAAACAGCGGAGATGTCTAAACGGTGGAGAGGCGTGGAGAAATCTTTGCTGCTTATGAAATGCATATAATAAGAGGTGTAGCCGTGGCAGTAAGGGCGGGGTAAGAGAGTAGCAGCATTTTCAGGGCGTATAAGGAAGTTATAGACTGGGGAGTAAAGGGCAACAGGCTGTATTTGCAAAGCGCTCACTGTCGGAGTTTCTACTTTTAAAAATGCCCGGAAAAAAAGTTTGCATCGTTGGATCTGGAAACTGGTAACGTTTTTCTGTATCTTTTTGCCTCTTTTAGAAGTAGGGGTTCCCTTTTTTCAGCCAACTGATCGCTGATTTGGTCGTTTATTGGTTGCAAACCCGCTGTATTCATAATCTAATAGGCTTATCTTTACCTCTGTCTCTACCTCTTGCACATCAGAAAGGCAGATCTGGAGCTGTTGTTTACAACCTTCCTCAATTTCTTCTAAAGAGCTGTTCGTGTAGTAGTTCAGTTCCAAGCCTAAGCATGCTTTTTCAGCCTTTTCAGGAACATGCTGTACTTTGTGTACTCACTTCCCAGAGCTTCAACCTGTGGTTTCGGGTTAGGCTCAGTCCTGGCTGTCTATCCTGATCTTTGTCCCTCCCTCAGGGGTTCTGCCATTGCCAAAATTATCGGGCACAATGTCAAAGCTTCCAACCGCTTTGACCCAATGGTGAACATGTGGGTCTATGAAGAAATGGTTGATGGGAAGAAACTGACAGAGATCATCAACACCGAGCATGAAAATGTCAAGTATCTACCAGGCCACAAGCTGCCCAAGAATGTGGTAAGTGCAACAGTTACAGAAGCATCATCTGTAGATTACGCAGTCCGATTTGCTAATTACCGCAATTTTGAAGCACACGACATTGCACCAATAAGATTATTTAACTTTTTTAAAAGGAACAATGCAGTTTGGCATGGTTCCAATACCATTGCTAATTTCCTGCCCTTGTCCCTTGTTGGTCTTTTACATTCACAATGCTCAAACAGTTGAGTCAGTTACATAAAACTGCAATGCACTATAATACACAGAGATACAATACATACACATACTGAAAAAATATAGCGTAAGAAAAATACATTATTTAAATTAATACAATTAACCAACCTTTGACCTTTACTCTAAAAGATTTGATATCTGTGATCAAATTGATTTCAATTTGGAGTGTGTTTCATAGCTGCTGACTGTCCATATTTAGATCTGTGGTGTGGTATTTTACAGTTACCATTCACAATCCTCCTCTTACTGTTTTGTTATTGAATGCAACTAGAAAGACACCCTGGGGCCAGACTATTTATACACTCGAAAAATAATTTAAGAAAATACAAATGAGTGCATTATTACAATTATGCATATTATACAAGTGAGTACACTGACAGAGTACGCCTCTGTCAGTGTGCTCCAGGGCGGCTGTGGCTACACTGTAGCTTGCCATCACCAGTGTGTGTGAATGGGTGGATGATTGTGTATAGTGTAAAGCGCTTTGGGGTCCTTAGGACCAAGTAAAGTGCTATACAAATACAGACCATTTACCATTATATTTCATTAAAATGTGAGAATAATGCCACCAAACTGGCTTTTGAGACATTATTTGCAGTCTTTGGTTGTATAAAGTTACCACATGCTTAATTATAGAATATTAAACTTGAGTTCAAACTGTCATAGAATATGAAAAATTAGAAAATATCATGGAATCCATAAATAACTAAGCTGCTGCAGTGGGTATGCAGTGTCATCTTTAAATAGTTCAGATTACGGTGCGCTCCTTAATAAGTTGGAGGTCAGAAATGTATTTTATGGAACACCCACTTTACTCGAACTTCCCACTCGGAAAGTCAGAGCAGACCAACATACCCAAAGTTACCAATCCAAGATGTTGGCACTGAACCTAAACTGTAGTAAAACTGTAAACTTTTAATCTGTGCTGTCACTGTTGTGTGTTTCTTCTCAGGCTCTGTTTATGACTGTGTGTTTTAAGTGCAAAAAATAAGAATTATGCTGAATTGCTAGTGATGTCTGAATAGCTCTACCTTGATAAGATTTTTTAAAAAACCCGTTCTTCCTGTTTTTTTGGTTTTTCTGGAACGTGCTAACTCAGGAGAGACATAACTCCCGAGTTCCAACATC